GCTTAATAGCGCAGGTATTTAAGCAATTTCCGCAATGGTCGGTCATTGGATGGGTGACCAAAAACTTTTTATCTCGAGCTCCTCCGTGCAGCGGAAGGTATGTAAAGCCATTGGTACAGCCGTGGCCGTGGTCAGCACTCACTAAGCCCACAGTGGGTCACAGCTCAATCTCCCTATTCCATCTACAGTGAAGGCCTGTGCCCCAGTAGTAGGGACTTTAATAGGCTGATGACGATGATGATGACCCTATTAAAAGCCATTGCGAAACATGTTAAACAAAGACGATCGCAGATCGAACGCGCTAACAACTACGTCATCGAGTTTCTCAGTCCAATATCATCAAATCCTATTTATAGGTTTGTCCTGCTCGCAGTAAATATTCCGTTTTTGCTGTGAGTACCTACGTACTATTACTTCCGCGCCTAAAAAGTAGAATGCCATTCTGATAAACTGTACTAAGAAAAAGAGGTTAAATAATATTTTCTTAACATAATATCTGCACGCTAGCAACACAACGCATTGTACACAAAAAGCAGTGTCGACAGCCGATTTTCACGCTTCGCCAGATTTGAATGTTGCCATTGTACTACCAATCAAACTACCTCATGAAATCACCTTACGGTTAATGTAGAACATATTTATTTTTTCGACATACCATACGTCTCACTATGAAATTAATACATTCCAATTGGATTACAGAAGTTATTTTAAGGATTTTAAGGTTCCGTATTCAAGAAGAATCAAATGAAACACTATTGATAAAAAATATGCCTTCGCTTTCTATATGTTTGTCACAGGACTCTATTAGTTGAACGGAAATAGGTAGACAAATGAAATTTCCTCTGAATGGTGTGACAATAGCCGCTATCACAAAAATATAAAAAAAACGCATAAAATAGTTTAAATAAGACAAAAGGGAAATTTCTTTATACACTTCATTTTTACGACCTGTTTCGCTTAATATAATAAATAACCTAAAACAAAAATAACCATTGAAACTGTCTTTTATCAGATAAATAGATTTATATTAGTTTTTCTGTTGCTGTTGTTTAAATCACTAGACGAAACATAATGTCCATGTTAGTAATAGTAATTTAGGCATTCACCAAGGTGAGATAAGTATAAAAAGTTTAAGTATGCTTATCTAGTGTTAATCTGTAAGCTGTAACACCATTCTAAATTAAGATGCCTTAATTAGACAGGAGAAGATCCCAGATAGCTTAGTTGGGGTACTGACTTGGCTGTCTCTTGTACGTACTTACATTTTCGTGAATTTGGACAGTTAGTTGACCGACTAGGTACTCTTGAGGTCGAAATGAGTTCTAATAACTGATTTATTAAGACCTATTTGCGCCAAAGTTCTTAGTGCCAATTTAGGCTTAATCGTGTTTAAGACATCATTACATCTTTGCCAATTGTTTAATAGTCAAATAAAGATAGAAAGGCGCTTTAACATGATTCCTTAGCTTTTGAATGCGAATTAATATTATTGGCATAAGTAGGCCTCAGTTTCACTGGTTTCCGTTCAAATAAATGTGGATTTCATATCATAGTAAGGGAAGTATAACATAATATATAGATTTTAGTACGAACTCATTGATTGGGGTTTTGACGAAAGACAAATGTGTGACAAAGAATCTGATAATAATTCAACTCACAAATTACGACCCATTTATTTATATATAAATGGGTCGTAATTTGTGAGTTGAATTATATAGGAGCTCGATGGCGCGGGTGGTTAGCGCGTTTGGCTGCGATCGTTGAAGTTAAGCACCCTTCGCAGTGGTCGGTCATTTGATGGGTGACCAAAAATCTTCTATCTCGAGTTCCTCTGTGCTTCGGAAGGCATGTTCAGCCGTTGGTCCTGGCTGCATCTGCAGTCGTTAGCATCCGCCAATCCGCACTGGGCCCGCGTGGTGGGTCATGGCCCAAATTCCCCTAATCCATCCATAGGGAAAGCCTGTGCCCCAGCAGTGGGGACATTAATAGGCTGATGATGATGATAATGACACATGCAGCCTAACAGAAGTTATGATATATGACAATAATGAAGTCAGTATACTCAACTATCTAAACGAAATTCTCACTTAACATTGTATAGAAAAATAAGTGTCATTATTCACATGCAACACAAACAAAACCATTAAAAACAATTAATTTTGATTGTGGTTAAAACAATTAATTTTTACTTGTTTAGATTAAAAAAAAAAAAAGATTTTGTTTATATTATGAATTATTAATTAATGTTTTATTTAGTAGTAATTAATTATAGCATGACGAATATTTAGGTATTTAAAATAATGATGTTAGTTATACATAGGAATGAAATATATCTTAAATAGGTATGATATTTGATTGGCTGTCGATAAATGTTCTTCAACATTTCAATAAAACATCTCAACACTTTCAATTACTTCTCTAGCTCACTTTAAATAGAGATCAAATTCCAAAAACTTTGTACAGAGCGCAAACTTCTAACAATGCTATTCGGTTTATTCATTTCGTATTCATATTTACACTTTTCAAACATGAGAACCAGGTCAATACACTCTTATGTCTACAGATCCTGAGTTCGAAGTTCGGTGAAAATGAAAGCCCTTGTTTAATTGGTCTTATACGTCATTTCTGCTTTTTAGTACTCTGTACCCTAGGGATGATAAAGGGATCTTATTACTAAGCCTACATTGTCTGTCTGTTCGTCTATCAATAGGTTGTGCCTTTCTTGTAGAATGAACAGGCAGACAGTTGCATTTTTTCGCAGAATATGAATTTCTTAAATATAAAAAATATAACTGTAAAAAGAGCAAAACAGACACCATTGGTATAGACCATATCAGGGAGTAGCAATTTTACATACAGAAACATCTACTGCACAAGTTTGTCTGTAGTTTTGCTTAAGAAATGTGCCGCTACCATGTAGAATATTTTAAATTTAGCAATTTTTATATTTGTTGACATAGCTGCCACCGGCAATACCACGCGTTCTGTTAAAATTTTAGGTGTATTGTAATATTGTTACATAGATACCTAATAGGGGTGATGACGGGGTGAAGTAAATGAAATTCTATTTTGTCCGTCAGTAGATTATTGAAAAATAATGGGCACGTACTTTTTCTTCGGTCAATCAACCTCAAAAATAACAAAGATAGAGCGCGTCGAAGTTTGGGAGTCTGACGTCATGCGACATTTTAAATCAATATATCTCTGTAATGGTAAATTGATCTGAATAAAGAAAAAAACGTGTCTAATACTTTTCGATAATCTATCTGATAAACAAAAAAAAGGTAGTCGTCATCCCTATTCCTTCCAAGAGATAGAATCCCGTTCATGAAACATTGAAAACTGAAGCTTGAAAATCAAGGGGATTCCAGGGGGCCATTCGCTTTTTTGTTAATCTATCTGATCCCGTTGAATTGCTTTGGAAACCGCTATCATTAACGGTTTCATTTTGTTATTTCTGCCGAAGGCTTTCAAATACCTCACGCAAATTTTCTTTAATATTGTTATTACCCATGCAAAAAAAAAAGAGCGCGAGGCATTTGAACACCTCAGGTGGCTAGAAATAACAAAATGAAATCATAAGCGATAGAGTTTTCCAAAGCAATCTGGTTAGGCGATTGGTCCCCAGGATTTTTTATGTTAAAATGGTAGCAAACAAGCGTATATCCCACCTGATGGTAAGCGGCCACCATAGCATATTGATGCTTGCGATACCAAAATTATCACTCGCATCGTTGCTTACTCTAATCCAATCCCCGTGGAGCCCTAAAACCTTATTCACCGACAGAAACACAAAACTATCAAAAGTATACAGTACTGATGTATTATTATTGATTTATACATATTACAATACATTAAAATAACACAAACTTAAAAACTATATAGCCTAACCTACATACCTACATAAATAAATAATTTACAAAATAAAAAATATATCACCGCCCGCGCCGCTTTCAGGAATGGTGCCCAATAGTTGGATGCGTTGGATGGCAAGGCTGATTTCGTACCGCCATAAAAATTAGGGGTTGGTGGTAGAAGGGTGAAAATTTAGGGTTGTTGGTATTTTTGTATGATGTATCATAAATAAATAAAAACAAAAAAATGTCCGATTTTTTTTTTAATTTAATTGTTGTCCGATTTTCAGATCTACTGAATATGCATATAAAAATTTCACGAAAATCGGTCGAGCCGTTTCGGAGTAGTTCAATTACGCACACCGTGACACGAGAATTTTATATATTACAATAATTATTATATTGAGGATAAGCCTTTCATCTGTTTATATTTGTTATCTCTTTAGGCTTAATATATATTTAAAAGAGTAAAATAAATACCTAAATAACTTAAGCACCTTTGATGGGCTGGGAGCGAAACTAAAACATTGATTTTTCCAGCTGCTGATCCTCAGTATAGATAACAATAACCTCTATTAAGGGATTGGTCAGTTCTGGAACCTATTGCAGTCAAATATGGGCTTCCTGGTACCATCATGTTTTTTGTATGTTAAAACAGTAGCAAAGAAAAATATAGCCCGCCTGGTAGTAAGCGGCCAACGATTTTTTTTGAAACGCGCGTGTTTTCCGCAAAAAATCTCTTTTTAGTAAGATTGATAAATTACATCGCCATTGTCTAACTATCCGCATTTTCGCATAACTCCTAGAGTTTTCGTGAAAATTCGAAATATCAAATCATCCTACGACAAACTACTATTCAAACCACTGTTTGTCATCTTATATTCATGAGTAGAAGAGGCATTGAAAGTGTATATGGTACTCTACTAATAAAGGTCGTCGAAATAATAGCCAACGAAATCAAAACAAACATAACAATAATCAACAGTACTTTCCTTATTATGATTCACATCACGCATGCATTAAAAGTGCAAGAAAACAGTTTCCAATCTTAAGATATCGGCATTTAATCCCTGGTATCATGAGCAGCGCCGAGTACAGGAAGTACAGGCGTGTACACAATAGTGGAAAAGTCATACCGGGACATGTCCATGCGACGGTATAGTCAACCACAGCGCGCCTTCGGACGCGGACGTTTGTGCATGCACGCGGTTCGCACGCGTCTTGATATCCCACTACGATAAACACGTAAATAAACATTACCAACCTTAATCGGGCCAAATAAAAACAAAACAACATCGCCGTCTAAAATTCTAAATTAAGAACAGTGTTCTGTTTTCAAATATTTATTAAAGACGCGGAAAGTTCAGTTTTTTTGTTAGTGCAAAAAAGTGATTTACTTACTTTTCCATGTGGCCAGTACTCTGATTGAAAAGTCAGTAAGTATTACATAAAAAGTATCACCAATATGCTATTTATAATTTGAACAAAAAAGTTTGAACAACTTTTTGACGTTATCTATGATTCGCTAGACCGGACGTGTACGCAAAGTTCAAACCTTAACCCCGTATCACGAACCACGATACAATTCTTTGATCTTATCAAAGACTTCTAAAAGTTTCGTACAGTTATTTATCAATGAAGTTAGGAAATCGGTAACAATTGATTTTATAGATTGTTACCAGTCAATAATAAAAATAATTGCTTCGAAAAAACTGTAGAGCGTGATTCGATATCTTACACACTCCAAGTATTTGTACATACTTAACCAATTGTATTGTTATAATTAAGTGGAACGGTGGTAATGAAATTCATTCATTACATATGTAATTTATGCAAAACACATATCAGTTTATTGACATCTGATAGTTAAGTACAATCGATCTTTTTTTTATCTAAAATATTATTTTTCAAAGAGACTGTTTGACAATGAGTCTTCAATTTTCTTTTGCATGTTTTTTGCGACGATTTCTTATCTTAGACTAGTTCTCGCGTATAAAAATGTTAATGTTCTTTTTATAAATTAATGTATTTGACCAGGAGGTGATTATTACTGCCTTATACGATATGTCAATAATTTTTTTCTTTAAAAGTAAATGATAGTCATTAATTTGTAACTTGTAAATGGAGACTTATCTAATTGTCCTAAGCGGATATGAGCTTTGCCAAAACTTAAAGTACCGATTAAACAGGACATTGAAAAAAGCGGGAAAGTTACTTAGCTTGAAAATAATGTGTATTATAATTTAATGGAAAATCTTATGGTTTTTTTCTGTATAGAAATAAATAGTTTTTTTTAGTTTCTGGTGTTTGTGTGTGTTTTATTGCAGTTTCACTTAAGAACAAATTTAAATACCGGATAGCTGTAATAATAATGTCATTTTGATAACTATTATGTCGAAGCAGTGGAAATGTTGCCAGGCACTATTTTGGGGAAAATATTAATGACGTCCCCTTTCAAACGTGTAAAAGTAAACATGGAATTTTATTTTGTTTAAATACCTGTAATAAAATACACGTATACTTGAACACGTTTCAAAGGTGATGTAATTAATACTAGATCAAAGATAAAAGCGTAATATGCCCCAATAAAATATCTTTAAAAAAAGGTAACGCTGAAACTTCGGTAAATGGTATTTTCGTAACGCTGGATTTTTAATAGTTACTGCTCTGCGAAAATATTTTAAAGTTTTGTCAAATCATTCACGGCCAGCATTAGGCCTACTAGAGCTTTGTTGTCAATTTTTTTTATTATTAACATTTTAATAACGAATGTTGCTAAGTAACGGAACCAGATTATGCTTATCTTTTACTGGAGGTTGATTATTGAAACTGGCCGTAAATTACTCGTAGCTTAATAAGAGCACGTGTATTTTATTTTCACCATATATATATGATATTACCTACTTACTATTTTTCTTTAAAGTCTCGTCTTGTCAACCGAAACCTGTGGAAAGCTTTAAAAATATATTTTGTAGGTCGTACATTAAGTCGCTATATATAAAAAACGTTTCTGAGATCGCTTTTTTAAGTTCGTTACATGTTTTAATACCATACATTTGAAGTTTTTTTTTTTCATATTATTTTTATTCAATTATTTACAATATTTCTCTTAAGTAGGTTTTTCTTATTCAAATTTTAACGTGTTTAATATATATTGTCAGTACATATGACTCTGTTAGTTTATTTCATTTTATGTTAAGTATCTTTACATTTCTTTGAGTAATGTTTTTATTTTAGAACAAATTATCTTAATAACTCTATTATTAAGATAATCTGTAGCCAACATAAAGCCTTCTCTTATGTGTTATATACCTCTATAAGATTTTAAGTGACACCGAACACACTTTTAGGGACACTTTAACTCACCTCTTTATTTATGATTGGTAAACGATATTTGGCTCCCTAAACGTGAAGTGATTGAGGTAACCTATAGTGAGCGCCTTTGCATTTTTGTCATCTTTTTCTAATTTCAGCCGCAGCTAATTAACTCTTTTAATTTTGCTGCATCGTAACTTTACTTATCAAAGCATTAGTACGTGGTAGTCTAGGGTACTATGGTACAGACGAATTTGCGGGAAGTTTTATCAAACTTAAGAAGTTTCTATTTAGGATAATTATGCTTAGGTTGGGTACAAAAGTCGAAAGTGACAAAAGAATAAAATTAAAAAATTGTGGTATGGAGTTCGTTCGTGTAGGAGTGAGTCCTTACTAATCTATACTTATAATAAATCTGTAGAGAGGTCAATTCTGTACATGAAATATATTTTCAAAATAACTATCAGGGGATGATTAGTGATCGATACTGATGCCAAAAATGCAATCAGTAAAATTTTTGTCTGTCTGTGTGTATGTTCCTTATAGAAACAAAAACTACTCGACAGATTTTAACGAAACTTGGTACAATTATTCTTCATACTCCTGGGCAGGTTATAGTATACTTTTCATCACGCTACAATCAATAGGAGCAGAGTAGTGAAGGGAAATATTGGAAAAACGGGAGAAGTTACTCCATTTTTTAAGCTTCCGTCGCGTGTGCAGCTTTAATGGTTAAAGTTACATAGAAATCATGTATGACGGAAATATTCTACATAAAATTGTCTAAAAAATATCCCGCAACAGCATATGTCTATCTTTTATGGTTGACTCACAATAACACGTGTAATTATATAAATAAAGTTATTGTTTGTAACACAAGCCTGAGAACAAAAACTATAGTTTACACTACAGCTCTACACCGAAGCGAAGCGAGGGCGGGCCACTAGTTATATAAATAAAGGCTGGTATTTCGTCGAAACCGGTATCTTTTTTCTTACTCTTTATCTAATTTAGACTTAGACAGCTGATGAAAGGCCATATTTTTTTACATGAATTATTAAATACAAACGGTCGATTGTCATAAGTCGATTTTATTTATTATTCTTTTGGAACAATCGTACACCGCTACTGTAAATTGCTGTTACATTCGCATAAATGGAGGTAATATTTTAATACGCCTAGTTATGCACTCGTGATGAGTGTCCTGCGCCTGCGCATGATCACATGAAAAAAGAAGGTACAGAGGCAAGTGATCATGCGGTGCGCGTATATCAGTGAGCACTGGCAGCCTGTCACAGCCAATAGAAATGCAGGATGCGTGCGCAGCTCTTCACGACGAGCATGAAAGTTGGAGGGTGACCTGGCGAAGGCTGATACGCTACGAGCGTCACACGCGACGATTTTTATATATACACTAGCTGACCCAGCGAACTTCGTACCGCCATAAAAAAAATTAATTAAAAAAACATTGTCCAGCGGACAAAATTGTGAATCTAAACCATTCTCAGATCCCCTTGAACACACACAAAAAATTTCATCAAAATCGGTCCAGTCGTTTAAGAGAAGTTCAGTGACATACACACTCACAGAAGAATTATATATATAAAGATTTCCCTATGCCTTACGCAGCGCCTAATGTTAGGTTATTTAAGAAAAGAAGTTTCACTTCAGATGTGTGGTCCGTACACACAATATTTTTGTGTTTGTATGTTATACTTTAGATTTTTTTACAGTCTTTTAAGTTTTTTTTAAATTATTATAATAAGTTATTTAAATATAGGTAGTCCAAAATTAATTTTATTATATAATAAAAATAATTATTTCCCCCTTCTGCAAGGAATGTGATCTTGAAAAATATATAATATAAACAAAAAACAAAAAAAAGATCAAAATCGTAGCTGTTTCTTTCGAAGGCCATTCGAAGATTGCCTGCTTAACTGCTTCATTAAGGCGATTACGCGATAGGCGCCAGTGCTCACTCGCACACGTGAAATTATATAAGGCTTTGTCTTTGTACCATCTGTACTCATGTGGCATGATTTGAAGGCGGCCGATAACATTATCGGCGGATGGTTTAACGGCATCGATCGTGTGATTTTTCTATTGGACTGCACTACACCTATGTAGGTCGCAGTTACGATGCATGCGCGATAAGTGTACAACAAGGGAACACGCTGTTTCTCTATAGAGTTTTTCTAATGGTTGCACATTGTAAATATTTTAATGAACTATGACTTGACAAGTCATCTATATTTTTTATCTCCTAATCTTTGTGACGGGTTGAAAACATACTTATCTTTTTATTGTTAGCACAGGCCCCCATAGCTATGTTGCTAATTGGCAAAAGTGATACTTACTTAAATTACAAAAAAAACTTTATTATTTATATAGGTACCTTATAATATAACACAGTTTTATCTTTGCAAAAGTTAGCAGTTTGTACTGTCTTTTGCTCGTATTCCAGCTATTGGAGCTAGAAATTAGGATATTTAAGAAAAAGTTACACGTACAGACTGAAAGAAGAAATTTCTTGATGATTTTTAGCCACCGAATCTGATAATAAATCAGGCTTAATCCCTCAGATTACAGAACAAATCTGTTATCGCACCTTAATCCTAACTTGTTGAAAATGTTTAAAAAAATTGTTGAGTTCTTTGTTTATCTTTACTGGGTTTTAGAAATTGAAATAAACGTGCAATAATTATCAAAAAATTTACTCTTGTTATGAAACTTGTAAAATGGTAAGAAAAATATATTGGATAATTGAAATGTCGATACTTTATTAAAATTGTCTTATTGGCAGCTCTTTTGAATAATCCAATATTATCTTTTCTACCACCGATTTAGGACACATTCAAACAATATATATTCAAATGGGATTTTTTTATACTTACAATTAGATAAAAAGAAAAATGTTTATTCATTAATTTAACAGGGTAGGTGATCAATGTCTCTTCTTATCTTTGGCAAAAACTAAGTTGTCATAAAATACTAAGGTCTGTCATTGACCTCATTCAGATAGGCAAACTGAAATGCTAGTGGGCAGTATACACATGGCCAGCTGATTATATATACATATTATAAACTAGTTCTCACGCGGTTTAGGAGTATTATGGCGATA